AGTATTACGTAATACGTTTTTTTGTTCAAAGTTAATTATATTATAATATTACAACGTTACAACGTATATAATAAAACGGACGTTAACGAAGAACACAATGTTCCTTGAACCTAGGAATCGGGCATTGGAGAAACTCGCCCTATGTGCGGTGTTGGTCTGGTACTTATAGATATGCAACCTAATTTAGGTGGGAATTATAACAAAAGAAAAAGCCACATCGAAGTAGATTCAGCCAAACGCGAGATAATACGGGTCAAACTGAGAAGCTCCTTTTTTTTAAGTCGTTTAAAAACGTGCGAGGCTTACAGTAGTCGCTTAAGATGTGTAACATCTGCCATCTCATCTTGGTAATAAGCAACATTAACATTATATCCTGAAAAAAAAAAAGATTCAGGTATTATTTGATTAGATTTTTCGTAACGAAGAATAATTATTTTTAATGAAAATTGTATTTTATTTTATTACCACTAGGAGCAATGTAATTTGTTTATTGAAGTCAGTTATTGTTGTTCAATTTGTCGGAGAGCGAATACAGTAGACTTATGATAATATGGGACAGATACCTGTGATTTCAAAGTATTTAAAAACCGTTGAAACAACAGCATCTATAAAAGTACCACTGTTAGTTGTCGAAACATTTCGATCTGTATTTATTTCGAGCTTGAGTTCATTATTTAAAAAAAAAAACTATGAGTGGCTCGGCTTCTGGTGAACTGAAGTTTACGTTAAAATTACCATTTAATATCATTGTAAGAGAGTGAGTTATTAAGATTTTATTTAATTATTTACACGTTAGATAGTTAGTATTGGTTATGTTGTATCATCATCATCATCATTACAGTCCTTCACAAGTCCACTGCTGAACATAGGCCTCCCCCAAAGAATGCCACAAAGCACGGTCCTGAGCCACCTGCATCCATCGACTTCCTGCATGTCTTACCAGGTCGTCACTCCATCTCGTGGGGGGATCTAGTATGTTGTATACTAGAATAAAATAGAAATATGTAGTTGTATTTCGTAAAAACTCAAAGTTGTATCAACAGCGAGATCATATCAACACGCTATATGTAGTTTGATCTGTCTGTTGTTATGACAATGAAAACGATTACCTTGTTTTACATAGACTTCTTTGTTCTGTATTTCTTAATAAGAAATGTAATAATTTATTTTCAGTTTAAGATTGACTGAACTTTCAAAAAAACAGCAAATCATAAGCTTTTGACTTTTATAATCCGGAAGAAACCGGAAAAAATGATAGTTTTAAAATCTAACTTATTTGTATAGATCATGAAAATAATTTCTTCTTATAAATTATTTTAAAACCAATAGTATGTATACAGTTAATTTATTTAAATTATGATATTGTGTGCCCCATTCCATGACTGAAAATGATAGAGGAACCTAGACATTATACAAGGCATTATACAATAACGGTTAACCAAATATGAAGGTATAAATAAATGAGGTTTGAAGTATAAAACTAAAAATATAAATGTGAATAAATATAAAAAGGAAAAGTACTATTCAATGTAAATGTGCGGATAAGTGACTATATAACTTAATAACTAGGTATGTGACAGTGATGTATCATACCAGCTCTATTGACTACGGAATTATTATGTGCATAGAGTCTTTGGCCAGCTTCTCTACCCAAGCCAAGACAAATATTATATATACATAATACATAATTCGAATGTAAGACTTTATTTGAGATTAACTTTTTACTAAATAAAAAAAATATACTTTATATTTTTCTTATTTTTTCGTCGGTGGGAGGTGTATTCTTTTTTCAAATTTCTAATATTATAATATTAAAAAAAATATTTCGTAAATTTCTATTATCATTTGTCCAGTCCATTAGGCGATATATTTATTAAATTATTATTCGCACATATTGTATTGATGTGATTACATACATCGGTATAAGTTACTTGACTGTCAATTGCCGAGTGCTTAGTTTGTTGCGTATCTGGTCGAGGTCAGCTATGCGATACTCTTTACAGCTTTGAACTCAGAAACTTTCTCATATTATAACGTTCAAAGCTTAGTATGAATCTCATGAAGCGTATTTTCATGCTCTTTAACCTTTATTGTTTTGGCATAGCCTACTGGGGAAAGTACTACTTAGTATATAAACATTTCAACTTAAACGGTAAAATGTACTATATTACTGCCGTAGAGTATTTTGATTTGATCTTTGTGTAAGATTTCAATTAACTGGATTATAGTTCCAGGATATATTATGTTTACCTCAGTATCTTTAACATTTCACCGAAATAGCTCCGTTTTTATCTTATAAGTAAACCACACAACAAAACATAAAACGACAAAAATAGGTTAAGTAAGCACTTACATCAACTTACATGTTATGTCGTTTAAATAGGTTGCTATGGGGTTTTTCTACCGACTTCAAAAAGGAGACGGTACTCAATTCGACTGTATGTTTTTTATGTGTTACCTATTTATGTGTGTTACCTCATAACTTTTTTCTAGGTGAAATGATTTCGATTATTCTTTTTCTTATTTCAAAGCGGGTGCTATAAATTTTAACAAGATCTGACCAATACTTTTTAAGTAATTTTTAATAGTTTATATTGAAGTCGGTTGTAAATTTTTAAGCCTAAAATTTCACTTAGGCTGGAAGGTGTTTCTGCCACCAAATAGCTTTGTAGCTCCCCACCGCTGTACTATATAACGCCGCTAAAAGCCCCTACTACCGTCCGATTGTGAGGATGGACGACTCTTTGTCGCCAAGCACCGGAGTATCCGCTCTACGGCCATGTGATATCCACCCACGGCTCGTCTCCGGTCTTTTCGGATGCCGAATCAGACTTTGACATGGAGACCAACACGCGCGTCCCGCTCAATCTCGAAGTTGAAGGCCTCACCTTCGTCTAGGGCAAAAAGCGTAAACGCGCAGCCCCAAAAAAGGGCAGCCCAGCCTAACTCGGGGCCCGTCCCCCAACGCCAATCCGGCAAAAAAACCAGCTGCCGCGATGCGCGCTCAACCTACGACTGCGGCCAAGCCTGCAGAGGGTCCCCTGCTGATCGTAGGGAAAACCGCCGCCACCCATCATCATCTAAGATAAATATAAATGGAGCAACCTATCATACTGGTTGGACTCAAAAATATCTACTACCCTAAGGTGCAAAACGCCGGTCGGGCTTCAGAATGTTCGTCAACTCGACCGAGGAATTCCGCAACGTTATAAATCGCTTTTTATATGTACGCCTTCCCAGAGGAGCGCATCCTCCGCGTAGTCGTCCACGGGCTCCCAAAGGAGCTCGAAATGGAACATATCCTTAACGACCTCAAAGGTCAAAATCTCCTGGTCCGAAAGGTGCACAGAATGCACCACCAGACTGACAAAAAGCGTTTCTTAGATCTGTGCCTGTCTCTTGTCATTCTGGACCTGTCTCCGGAAGGCAAGGAGATTTTTAATGTTTGGCGCATCTGCAACCTAACGGGGATTGCAGTTGAAGCCCCTCGAAATAGGGGCATCGTTGGCTAATGCCATCGATGTCAATTATAAAAATTGCTACGCCAGGCCTAGGTGCCTCAGGTGCCTAGATGACCACGGCAATACTGACTGTCCCCGTACGTCCAAGACGGTTGAACTACCGAGCTACCTAAATTGCCGTGAAGAGGGTTACCCAGCGAATTATCACGAGTGTTGAAGTGTCGTCGCGAAGGAAGCAGCACGTAGGTAAAAGCCGTCCCAGACGCGAGGGTCAAGCCAGTGTTTCACGCTCGCGGCTGCCTGCCCCCAAATCCGCATCGTCTTCGGTGCCCACTTCCAAACCAAGAATCGTCACCAAGCCCACCCCAGTCACTGGGGTGGCCGAGCAAGGTGCTAACCCTCCCGCGCCCTCCGCGCCAATACATAATGCTTGGGTGAAACCACCGGCACTCGTCGGGCCAGCGCTGCCTTCCCAAGCCCCAAAATTGAAGCCCGTCCCACAAGGCTCCTCTTCTCTCTCTAGTCTGCGGCTTCATCAGCAATATTAACGTTGCTGAATTATCTTCTTTGGTCCGCAAACTACGCGGAGCCACTACCCCACAGGACAAGCTCAACGCCACGATTGAGCACATAGGGCTAATCGACGCATTCTGGTCTTTCCAGTGCGCCTAAATACCTCAACTAAAAATGAAAATGGCAGTACAACTTTTAGGTAGAACTGAACCACACTCTCTAACTGTCGCGTTCTTATACGACCTTCAAGACCAATAAGGCGAGATCGCGCTCTTCCTGTGTAAACATGATGTAGACATCATGCTGGTGCAAGAGACCTTCTTGAAGCCTAGCCATCGTGATCCTAATATCGCAAATTACACCATAGTAAAAAATGATAGGTTGAACAGCCCCAGAGGTGGCACCTTGATCTACTATAGAAGGTTCTTGTACTGCGTACTGATCGACGCCACCCGTTAACAAACATAGAAGTCTCCATATGTAAAGTAGCTCTCTCTGGCCATCCGCCACTCACCATCGTATCGGTGTATCTAACGCCCCTCAAACACATAGTTGATTAAGACTGTGTAGAATTACTCAATCTAGGCTCCAGTTTTATAATAGTTGAAGATCTCAACAGTAAGCATTCCTCCTGGAACTCGCGCTCAAGCAATTCCAATGGTATGGTTTTGTTCGACCGACCACGGAGCGACTAAGCTTCGTTCTTATCGCGCCTGAGACTCCAACTCGCTACCCATTCGCACCCACTCACCAACCGGACGTCCTTGACTTAGCTATACTCAGAGAAGTCCGCTTGTCGATATCATCGATTCAAACAATATTAGAACTGGATTCGGACCATAGACCAGTCATAATGCAGCTGGGCCAGCCCGCAGGTAAGGTCCTTCAGACCAAAACCATAATGGACTGGCGTAAGCTCGAGGTCAAACTTGAGTCTACTACCTGCCAGAACTTCCCTGAGAAGATAGATCCGCCAGAGGAGGCCAATGAGGAAAATAGCGCCCTGTCGGCCCACCTCACCTCTACAGTTAAAGAATGCTCTCGTAGGGTTCGTGTGCCTATCATGTCTTACGCAAGCGTAGTTTTTGCGCCGCTGCCCATAAACACTTGTAAGACCTCCAAGTAGTCCAAAATATATTCATTCGCATAGCCACCGGAGCTTGGTGGTGCCAGCGAAACTCCAACTTACACAGAGATTGTATAATAAAGATTGAATTTCCGACGATCTTCGACTACTTCAAGGAAATGTCTCGGCGCTATTTTGAGAGGACCGAGACACATCCCAACCCGCTTGTGATAAATGCCGCCACATACGCTCCGACTCCGAACGTCACGGAAAGCTTCCGGAGGTCCTGTAACGTTCTAGTAGAACTACCCGTTCCACTAGATGCCGACGACCGAAATGTTACACATCAACACCACTCACTCATCTAGTGCCACAAATACTGTTAGGACTACAACGGATGGGACGCAGCGGGTCCGCAGATGGACGCACCGCACACCCCGATACACCGCGTACAAACCGTACACCCGCGTCCCTGAGCGGTTCTCGCGATGTTCTCACGGGAACGATATGAGTTAGACGTCAGAGCCGGGGCCCGCCACCCCCTGTTAGGATGGCCGTTAGATAACTCATCCAGGTTGTGTTAACGTGATCACTGAACTGAACTAAATATTATCCCACTCCCCCAAGATTATCGATTTATCAAATAATCATAAATCAATATCGATAAAATAAATAATCTCTCTCCCCCTGTTTATAGCTCGCTGAAGAGGCTAATAGGCTAACAGCATTAACATTACAGAAACTAGACGTCCATACTTTAAATATTATGGCCATTTCTACGTGGTAGAGCCATGTTCTATTTGTACGTGGTAGAGCCATGCTGCAGCTATATTAGTAGTATAGTTGTAGCACGAATGGGTTGGCACGACCGGGGAAGGACCACGCTCTCACAGAATACCAGCGTAACACTGCTATGTTTCATATGGTGAGTGTAGAGAATCGGAGACCCTTTTTACTGGAAAAGGCATTCCATCTTAGTCCTCACGGGTAACAACGCATCTGCATTTTGATTCGCAAACGAGGATAGATGTGGATGTCTATGGGCCACAGCAACCACTTACCATCAGGTGGACTGTGTGCTTGTTTGTCACTCTATACTATAAAAAAATCTATTTCAGATAAAATAATGTTACACGTAACGGTTAGATGAATTACTAATTTGGACTTCTACCCGCTGGAAAGTGATTACGGTTGTGGAAATCAAGGACACCAATAGAATTGATTACCGGCTAGTTTGCGGCTACAAACGGGTAAAGCTTGAGAAATTGACAAAGTTGTTCTTGGAATAAATGATAGTCACTGAATTTTTTTAAGCGTTATTAACTATGACAGGCATGACTGAAACTATAATTTAGAGTATATTTTCTTTATTTATGTTTTCGTTAATGTATTAACCATGTTTACCGAACAATAATAAATATAAGGAATGATATACAATAATATCATTCCGTAAGCGGTCATCCATTAATTTCTTATACTATGTAAAATTTGATGATGAACTACTTACATTTTTAGATGTTTGTGTAAATTTTACACATGATTTTAAAATAAATATGGTATACTGTATAATAAAACTCCCAAAGCCATTCGACTATATTTTGTACGTGGTAGAACCATGCTGCAACTTAATTATGGTTGTAGCACGAATGGGTTGGCTTGACCGGGGAAGGACCACGTTCTCACAGAATACTAGCGTAAAAAAGCAGCTCAATGCTGGTGTTTCGTGTGGTGAGTATAGAGAACCAGAGACCCTTTTTACTGGAAACATTCCATTATAGTCCTCAGGTTTGGCAACGCATCTGCATTTTGATTTTTAATATATATAACATAATAGACATATGTAGATGTCTATGGGCCACGGCATCTACCATACGACATGAACCAATAAACATAATATACAACATAAGCAACATAAACAAGCACACAGTCCGGACAGGTGGACTGTATGCTCGTTTATCACCCTAATTCTATAAATAAAAAGCTATCCACACGGATCACGTTACTAGCGAAGTATGGCGGAGAGCTTGTTCTCTGACTCAGAAGTAAGATTAGATATACATATCTCATCATAATTGATTTATATGATGATAAATATCATGGTACACCATGCTATTTTACTGCATTTTAAAATATAACAGTATCTTCTGGACAAAGAGTATTTAATTACTATTTTTGAGTCAAAAGATAAAAACTCGTTAAGATATATTTAATTTCTATATTTTGAATTAACCCTGTAGGGGCCGTGTAAAAATATCCACTACCCCATACCATCCCGTGGGTGTCGTAGGCGACAAAGGGTTAACGAAACAGGAGATGGGCGGTAAAATCTTTCTGATTACTTTAAAATAATAAAAAACTGCAATTATCCATCCGCCTGCCAAGTCTGGCAACTATCGCAAAATCTCCCCTATGAGACAGTCTATGGCGTAGGCCTATGATCAACAGTGGACTTTTATAAGCTGTACTGCATTTATTAAGGACCACCAACAAGATAAGTACTATATCATTCTGTATATTATGTATTAACAGATTTCTTTTTGCTGTTTAATATATTTCTATTCCGAAATCGCTTTACTAATTAATATCGTAATAAATTCACGTCACGCCCATTGCCTTAAATAAATACAAATCATCTATGTTTATTTGATACTAGCTGTACTCGGCATGCGTTGTATTGCTTGTTCTAACGACTTCAAAAAGGAGGAGGTACTCAATGAGAGCATCCACAAATTTTTCTGCCACCAGGGCGGCGCCACTTAAAATAGAGGATAGAGTTATAATATTTGACAGATTGAGAGCATCCACAAATTTTTTTGCCACCAGGGCGGCGCCACTTAAAATAGAGGATAGAGGTATAATATTTGACAGATTTCATAGCGGAAAAGTTAATTTGTTTGGAAAATTTAAAGGTTAATGTTTCTTTCTATGGTATTAGCTATATTTTATATTAATAAGATTAAAAATAAATAAACCTAACCACAGATATTCATGAAATTAGAAAATTTAAAAATAATTAAAAATGTGAAAAAAATTAAAGAGCAAACTGCTGAGGCATTGTTTTGAGTATTAATGTAATACTTTTGAAACTGATAAAATTACATTAATAACTAACTTCACAATTAAATGACATTGTGTAAGAAAAAACTTTACATCGGTGTCAACTAGCGACATCTGGTGAGCAGAAAATTATTAGCCCTCATTCGACTGTATGTTTTTTTTATGTATGTTAGTTACCTCATAACTTTTTTCTGGGTAAACCGATTTAAATTATTCTTTTTTTTTATTTTAAAGTTGGTGCTTCTCTTGTTGGCCCATATAAATTTGATCAAGGTCTGACCAATAATTTTTGATTTATCCTTAATAATTGACATTGAAGTCGGTTGTACAAAATTTTTAATTTTAAATTATTGCTAGAAACAGTCGCAGCCGAGTGCACAATAACTTACCAAAGTTTAATCTAAATTATGGATGGATGGATGTCAGGTTTAAGAATGCATACGAACAAATAAACATTCGTTTTTATATTACACAGTAATATAGATTCTATCACGTTGTTATTATTAATCATATTATATATCGCATTCATTAATTAATTATAACCTATCAAAAATCTACTGCTCAACATCAGCTTTCCTCATATATTACCTCTCCTATTCATTATTTATCTATATTAATTTTCCCCATATTTGATATAGATGCCATGCTTGAATTGGCAACCGCTTGGTTTTGATTGTCTTTAGTTGTTATCAGGAAGACACCAATAAATAAAAAAGACGTATAGTTCTTTTCTGGGATAGTAAATTTATTGGTGCTATTTACAATATTAGACAAAGGGACTCACTGCGATACCTATTTATAGAAACTAATAACTTAACTGTTCCATCACAATTTATTTTAGATAATATTATCTAAAAATGAGTGATGTCCATAACTTTAATGCGCATGAGTGATAACTTGCAGTTGTAAAGTACAGACTTCATAAACCTAGCGACTCATTTTCAGGTAAATAAATAACTATTTTTAACAATATTTCCTTCAATATTACTGATTTTTTTTATAGGATAGGGTGACAAACGAGCACACAGTCCACCTGATGGTAAGTGGTTGCTGCAGTCCATAGACATTTACATTTATCCTCAACAAAGAATCAAAATGCGTCTCCGTAAAATGGGTCTCCGGTTCTCTACATTCACATTCACGTATATTTTACGCTGGTATTCTGTGAGAACGTGGTCCTTCCTCGGTCGAGCCGCCCCTTCGTGCCACAACTATACTACTAATATAGCTGCAGCATGGCTTTACCACGTATATAATTATATATATATATATATATATATATATATATATATACTGATTTTCAACCGACTTCAAAAAAGGAGAAGGTTCTCAATTCGACTGTTTTTCTGTGTGTTACCTCAGAACTTTTTTCTGTGTGAACCGATTTTGATGATTTTTTCTTCAATTTGAAATTTATCATGTGCTTCCATATAACTTTGATCAAGATCTGACCAGTAGTTTTTTAATTACCCTTAATAATGTGTATTTAATTGACTTCGACTACAATGATGATGTTTTCGTTTTATTTATATTGAAGAGGGTCGTACAAAATTTTTTTTTCATTTTTATAGAGAAAGGATATAATTTAGTGTCATATTATATCTTTAATATATAAAAATTAAATTTTGTTTCTTCGTATTTTATGCGCTGCCATACCGTTCATCAGATTGCGCTAAAACTTTGTCAACTTATTGCTTGCACATGCGTGAAGGTTATAGGCAAAGTACAATCAACTTACAGTAGGTGGCGCACCCATCGTACTAACGAATTTATTTGAAAACTATATAAAAGTTTTTAGAAAAATTTACTTCGTAAATATCTTAAATTTTTCTAAAAGCTTTTATATAATGGATTTCCGCAAATTAACGCCTAATTCTATTAATTATATGAAAACTATATATCATTCAACTTCAATAAATGTATTATTATTACTTATTATACA